AGTCCACTCTAGGAGCTCTTGCTTTTCCCTGTAACAGTGGCAATGCACTTGCTGGCCAGGGAACTCCATGAGGCAAGGAGATCCCTGCACAGCCTACTGATTGTGTGTGGTGTGTGTTTCCCTTTGTCCTAATTTGACTTGGAATCTGAGACTAATGGGCTTTTGCTGACATGCAGAGCTAGAGAAGTGGAAGAAGAAGCAGAAGCAGAGAGAGAGTGGATGGGCAGCATTATGATGAGAAATGGCCTTGACTTCCCTCTGAGGCCAACTGGATTTTGCACCTGTTTCTACCAGCTCTTCCATTTCAGGTTACTAGCTCCAAAGGAAGCCAGCAAGACTGATGGACAGAGAGGGGACCGACTGCAAGCTCTGCAGCCGAATCAGGGCCACAGCTCTCCTAGATGTAGAGGAGAGAGATCTTTTAGTGATGGCAGGTTCTGGTGCTCCTTAAGAGATCGAGGAAAGTCAAAGTTCCAACATGGCCTTCAAAGAAAAGGAATTATGTGAGGACTGGCAGGCTCAAGAGCTGAGCTGTCCTTACCATCCTATCCTGAGCCAGAGAGACCCGGGGAAGAGAGAGGGAGGGAGCTGTTGATTGAAATGTGACTTCGCTCCGGTTGGGGAATTGAGGCAAAGATTGAGAGGTCTTAGACTCCCAAGAGCATGGTCTTCTAGCCAGTGCACGCTTGTGCGCTCAAACAGTGGGTTTCCTGTTTGATGAGGACTGGAAATCACTTGCAGATCACCTTTGCTGACGTCTCTTCCCATCAAGGAATCCTTTAGCCATGTCTCTTCCCTGGGTGCCTTTCCTGGTCTGACTGGGAGGAGGGTGGCTGACCTGAGACAGCGCCCATTTCCCACGGGCCTGGAAGGAGCTATCAGGTGATGGGCTTCTGAGCGGTTCACATATTCCGTGTCCTCCACTTCCCGGCTTGATGGAAAAATCCATCTCAGCCTCACAGTGCTTTGTGTCCAGTGCTCGAGAAGTCTCGCAGCAGGACAGGCACCGCGTGGCTGCATTCTTCTCCAGGGCGCTGGAAATGGAGCCTTTAACTGAAGCCTCGTGTTTCCTCCAGGGAGCTCGCATCTGGCCCTTTGCTATCTCTCTCTCCAGTTCTCTGAATGGACCAGAGCCTGCGTGCTTTCATGATTATGTATTTGAACAGAAACACATTTGTGTCCGAGGGAGTCCAAGGCGGCAGTGAGAACTGTCTGCCTGGATTTTTGTGGATCTGCCTTCGCTGGGATTGGAGGGGCAGGGCAGGGAGTGGGGAGTGGGGGTGCAGGCCTTTCTCGGTGGGCTGCTGTGGTCAGCGCTGCCCTTCCTCTGGGACAGTGGTTGGCCCTGCACATCAAAGACCAGTGTGGATGGGCCTCCAACCACAGCCAGAAGGCCTCTTCTTTTCCTCAGAAGCCCGAGAACAAAGAGAACCTTAATAATTCCGGGAAGTTACTATATAGGAAAATTTTTCAACTCAATAAAAAGAGTATTTAAAATCTACGCTTCTGTTTTGAATTAGATGCATTTATCTTTGCCTCGTCCAAGCCACTAATATCTAAGGAGGTTTGTCAGTAGTGGATACTTAGAGTTTGAAGTTGTCTAGTATGTATACTAGGAGAATAAATGTCATACAATAAGGCCAACTTTGTCCCTCTGATTAGGAAATGCATCAATGTGTAGGGAGGGCAGAGAGCATTTAAGTCCTGGGTAACGGAGACACCATAATCAAGGGAAGAAGTAGATGCTGTATAAATGCTCCTACAGTATTTACAAGTAATTTGGGAATAATACAGAATTCTCCTAACATTTGGCTGACCTTGTAGTCAAGATATTTTTTGATTTGTTTTAACACGCTCATAATATTTTGAGTGAAGGATAACGTGCGTTAGAGCCGATTCCCAGTTTCAGGAATTTCCCTGGACAGCCTTCACACTGGGAGACCAATGGCCCACCTCTCTCAGTGCCCTTCATGGCTATTTCGCTGGACATCAGTGGCATGTAGCTGCGTGTCACCGTGCATGTGATTCTCGCTGCCGTGTACATCTCAGCACAATCGAAAACCAGATGGAGCTCGGGGCCCTCTCCCACACTGCTTTCTCTCCCACTTTCCCACCTCCTCGGATTACCCCATCTTTGTCCAAGGGGCTCCCCTGGTGACCCTCGGCACCGTCAGCTGCACACACACACCGCTTTCCCGCTCCAGCTGGTGGGATGCCAGGTGGGCCTGTGGTCTTCCGCCCTCTCAGACCTTGTTCTGAAGAGAGGAGCTGGTTCTTGTCTGGTTCCCAGGAGGGGCTTGAAAGTAGATACGTTAGCCTTGGTTTTTAGTAAGACTGGCTTCAGTTCAAATATCCATCTTACAAAATTGGACTTTTCAAATATAGTCGCACACCTCTTATCCCATTTTTTTCTACTTTACGACTTACGTGTGACTTGAATTCTCTATCTATTCCAGGTTACTTGGTGTTTTACAGAAATCTATCCCCTGTCTAGCATTGGGTTCCACTCTGCTTTGCTTAACAAATTTTTTTTTCTCTCTTGAACATTCCTGAATATTCTATTAAAGATTTTCATTTGTTACTTTTGGAGCTGCTGTGACCTCCCAAAGCTCGAGTAGAAAGAAGGAAAGCCATTATGGATTGGGTTAACAAAGTCCTCTTTACTGAAATTGCCACCTCTTCATTTGCTCTTATCAAGGCCTTGCTCCCAGGGAACCACTGCTGGTCATGCCCATGGCTTTCTCTCCCAGAAGGACCTGCTGAATTGCCAATAAAATCCAAGCACTTTTTGTCCCTTTTATGAATCTCAAACATCTCTTTCTTCCATGACTCTTCGTTAGGTTTAGGTATCCATAGTACCTGACTTATGAAAAGAACTTGGATTTCCCCCGCCGATGCTCTAGAGGACAAGCCGCATAGCATTGGAGATATCTAATCTGTTAAGATATCTGCTAAAATTCCCTTGGGAAACCATTTGGCCCTAGTGTTGTTGTTTTTCTGTCTTCATTTCTTCCATGGAAATGGTTCTGTTCAAGTTCTGTATTTCTACTGGAGTCAATTGTGCTAACACGCATCTTCCTAGGAAATCTCCCAATATATCGAGTTTTAAATTTTATTTTTCATTGATGTGTACAAAGTAATTGCTTATGATTTTCAAATGTTCCTCCATATCAATCACAATCCCCTTATCCTTGTCATTTCTTATTTTTATATTTGTGTTGTCTTGATTAGCTTAATGAGTGGTTGTCTTTTGTTAATTCTTTTTTCTCAAAAATTTTTTCAGCATTTTTATTTATTTACTTCTATTCTTTTTCTGTTTCCTACCTCGTGACTTTCTACCTGTATCTTTATTATTTATTTCTTTATGCTTGTTTGTTTTCTTGTTCTTTCTCTAACTTTTTAAGTGGGAATTCAACTTCTTTATTTAGATTGATTTAAGGAGATAAAACTACCATTTTCTCTGATCACTGCTATAATTGTCTCCCAAAATTTTGGTATATAGTATTTTCATTATTCATTTTTATAAGTTCTGAAATTTATTTCTATTTATTCTTTTACTCAACAGTTGTTTAATAGGGACTTTTTTAACGAAATGCTTTTGGTTTTTATTTTATTGCTAATCTCTAGTTTTATTGCATTGTGACCAGAGAATGCTGTTGATATTATTTCCAATATCATCGTATTTCTTTGTCATAAAATTGTTGATCAATTTTTGTGACTGTTCCATGTGTACGTGAGAAGACTATAATAGAGTCTCTTTAATGTTTTCTATAGGTCCTCTCTGTATATTTACTTTATTCCCATTTGCACCATCTTCCACTGAAAGAGAATTCCTTGCAATTTCTATACTTTCCACAATATCAGGATTTCACAAACTACAGCCTGCAGACTAGCTGCCTGCTTTTGTAAATAAAGTTTTGGTTGGCATACAAGAATGCTCATTCCTTTTTGTGTGTTTATGATTGCTCTACTGCTACAATGGCAGAGGAAGTAGCTGGGACAGAGTGTATGGCCTGCAAGCCTAAATATTTACTCTGTAGCTCTTAAAGAAAAATCTTTGCCAGTGAATACAAACATATTCACTTCATTATATCTCTGATGTGAATTATATCCTTTAAAATTATAATTTTCATGCTTAATTTTTTATTTTTGGCCTGAATTCTACCTTATTTGATGTCAAGATTATAACCCCTGCTTTCCCTCTTTCTTTTCCAAGACTGGCATATCTCTTCATTTCTACCTGCTCTGACTTTGTTTTAGATGTGTATCTGATACACAGTATGAGTTTGCTTTGTGATACAATATGAAAATATTTTTGTTTGAATAGGCGAGCTAAGCACCTTTATAAGTGGATCAGTTTGTTACACCTTTCAAGGTAGAACAGAAATAAGCTTTGTATGCATTATTTGAAGGCTTTCGATGGCACTCTTTTTTTGTATAAGTGAAGTTAATCTAAAATGGATCTGTGAGGATACCTTAGATTTTGAGCTTTATACTGGGAACTGTTATGGTGGCTTTTCCTTCTATTGTATGTGATTAAAGAAGCACTGGCTAGAAATTTTGTTGTGGCCCTGCAAATGAACTTGAAATGAAAATGCAACTGAATTATTGCTTAAATTAAGGGTAATTGTTCGTGAAGTTAAAAGGCAGAGTTTATATCTTGGATAAATGAAAATTAAAGCAAACAGGAAGATTTCCAAGAAGAGTAATGAATTTACTGTAGCTTCTTAATTCATTTCATGCATATACCGTTTTAGTACAACCATTTACTCTGCTGTTGGCCGAGCCTTGTTTAAGAATCTAATGACACAGGATGATTTGAAGCAGTATCTCTTTCTCTTTAGGAATGTATTGTTCCGTTTGGACTGTGAGAGGATCGTTTTCATATGTACAGTTTTTAGAACTGGTCATTCTCCTGTCACTTAATCTGGGGTCTTTTGGCTTCCCCCCGCTTCCTTTGCATGGCATACCTGACCTCTGTTGTGCTTTCTCTCGTGCAGGGCAGCCACTGATCACAATGTGGATAACACAACAGAAATCCTCAGGGAGTGGCTGAAGAATGTACAGAGACTCTATCACTACGTGGAATGGAGGCCCATGGATGAGCCTGAGTGAGTAGCAAGAGGACATTCTGTGAACTCACTACGGACCCTTCCTCCCTTAACCAGTTCTCCAGCCATCCAGGCTTCCAGCCTTGGAGGCGCCTGTGACCTTTCTTTGTTTTTCATCTGCATCTCTAGTAAGTTTCTTCCTTTGGCAGATCTTTATCTTTCTCCCTTCCTCTTTACTCCAGCAGGTCCCAGCCAAGTTCCAGTTCTCATGAGTTCACCAGTAAATCACCATGGCGGTCTATGTTTTAAAATAGTGATAATATTTATTCACATTTTGAGTATGAACCTTTTCTACTTGAGGGGTCATAGTGAAAAATTTGTATATTTATATACACCTTGCTTTTTCACTTACCATATCTTGGTAATCATTCTATAGTTAAGTAGCTTCTTCATTATCTTTATGACTGCAAAGTATGCATTGTATGGAAATACCATAATTATATAATCAATCTCTTACTGATGGGCATTTAGATTATTTCTAATCTTAACCCAACCAATTTCTTAGGTGCTTCCATCTTCAAGTCATTCTACATATCTTGCTATCAAATCAATCTATCTAAAATACTAATGGGTTAGTTTTTCTGTTAAAAAGACTCCAGCCCTAACTGGTTTGGCTCAGTGGATAGAGTGTCCCTGCGGACTGAAGGGTCCCAGGTTCGATTCCAGTCAAGGGCAGGTTGCGGGGTTGCGGGCACACCCCCAGTAGGGGGGGTGCAGGAGGCAGCTGATCGATGTTTCTCTCTCATCGATGTTTCTAACTCTCTACCCCTCTGCCTTCCTCTCTGTAAAAAATCAATAAAATATATTTTTAAAAAAAAAGACTCCAGTGACTCTCACACTTAGCACCCATACCTATGCACCCACATTTCCTGATTCTTCTGCCCAAAAATGCCTGCTTTATCTAGAATGTTCCTTTTATTTTCAACCCCAAGCTTTTGCTGGTGTAGGTTTGTTCTCCTAGAAGACCCTTCTTTCTTTATAACCAATTGTTATCCCAAATCCCACCTCCTACCGAAAGCTGTTGCCAGTCATTCCAGTTACAGAGCTCTCTCTCTCTCTCAACACGTGTGTTGCTTATTTTTTCCATCATTCTTTTTGACACAACTGTACACTTCACGAACATAAACTATATAACCTGTGCATTTTTCCAAGTTTCTGAGTTCTTTGTTGGGGGCTAAAGTACACAAATTATATTTCCCCCAATGCAGTTTTTGGCAGGCACAAAATTAATACTTGTTGAACAAATGAGTGAATGAGTAAACATATTACTGTTGTACATATTCCCAAGGCTAATACAATTCCAGCTTACGGAACTGTACAAGTAGAATGAATTGAGTTGCCTATATTTTTGCCCAGGATAAGTCATTTATTGAAAGCCAAATTTGTATGCTAAGTGCCATTCCAGAACAAATTTTTGTCCTTCTAGTCTCTCTGTATATAATTCTTATGTTATATGTGTATGCATGTATATACACATATCTCAAATCCCAGCTTGTGATCTATATATCCAGCAACATTTAACTAGAAAATTTGAACACTATAAACATTTTTGAACACCCTTTTGGAGTCCCTTATAATGGAATTTGGCATCATTAGAATGGCCCTGAAAGACTTTATGTTCCTACCTTGGATCCTGGTAATTTTCTCTATAGCCAGTGTTTGACTAAATGTGTTGTACGCCAAGGTCAGTGTGAAAAATATTAGGAGAGGCATTTGGGAGGGGGGTGATGTATTCAGCAAAACAGGAATTGCACTGTTTTTCCTTGAAGCAATAATAGGGGAAGGCATCCCAGAGAATTCCTGTGCAGTACATAGTTTTATTCATCCTATTTGTATAGTTTTTGCGGTTTTTCATTCTCCAAGGCTCGTGTACTACCAGCACAGCTCTAAGAACTTGAAGTGGTGGCCAGTTTGGGCCACTGTGGCAATGTCAATGCCCATGCCAATTAGGAGTTTTCAGAAGGGTTCTCGAGGGCACAGCACCCATCGGCCTATGTGGCCATGTGAGAGCCTGAGGCCGGCCTTTCTGAGGATGCTGATGGAGATCCCAAGGACTATGCATTGCTCCATGACCTCCCTTCACCCGGGATACAGCCATGTGTTCGCTTCTGTGGCATCCTTTCCTGAGACTTGCCCAAGTAAATTAAACCTTTCTTTCTCCTGGGAAACTCACATTTTTATGCTACAAATTCCCAAATGTACCTGATGGCAAAAATGTATTTTAAGAAGTACCTAGGAACATGAGCGTTGGGGTTATGCCTGGGTTTAAATCCTGACTGTGCCCTTTATTAACTACATAGCATTAAGCAAATGGCTCAAACTGCTCTACACCAATTTCCTCATCTGTGAAACAGGGAGAATAGTAATACAGTTGGTGGGTCCCATATCTGCAATTCAACTAACAGTGTATCGAAAGTATTCAGAAAAAAAAATTATCATTTTTTGCTGGTGTGTGTACAGTGTAGTTAGGCCTACAATGCATCTATACTGATCATGTACAGACTTTTTCTAGTCATTATTCCCTAAACAATAAAGGATAACAACTATTTACATAGCATTTATATTGTTCTGTGTATTCAAAATAATCTTTAGAGAACATTTAAAATATACGGGACCATGTGTGCAAGTTATATGCAAATGCTTCACCATTTTATAGAAGGGACTTGAGCATCCACAGATGTTGGTAATCACGGGGGTCCTGAAACCAATACCTCTCGGATACTCAGACAATTCTACTTACCTAGTAGGGACTCGGTGGGTTCCCTTTAGAACCCACTGAACTATTTCACATAAAGATTCTTGTGTACGGTAAGCAGAAGTCCTTGCTCTCTCCTTGCTCCAGTTTCTTTATGTGTATGTGGGGATGATACTAACAAGAATAGTATCTACTTCAAGCGAGGGTGAGTGGAAGATTCAATGAGTTTCTACATAGTGCCTGGAATATATCGGCACTCAGTTATTAAAGCTACTACTACTATTATTTATTATTATTTTAGGTCTTATCCTGATGAAATTGGTCCAAAGCACTGGCCGGCCTCCCGGTTTGCCCACGTGATGAAGCTACGACAGGCAGCCCTTCGAACTGCGAGGGAAAAATGGTCAGACTACATTCTGGTAAAATCAGATGTTTGATTTCTTGACAACTGTTATCTAGAATATGTCCAGATCAGTTGTCCGAAAACTAGGACTGTGGGATCAAGTAAAACAATCTTATGTCTAGGCCCTACCTTCTCCACTTTTTAATAAAGGCACGGAGGAAATGTTGGGAATTTAATATTGAGATACCCGGATTTCATCTCAGACCCACTTCGGACATGCATTTTCAGTAAGCAAACAAGCTCTTGAATTATTCACTCACTTTCATAGAACAGGCATAAAGATCCAAATCTTTGTAGCTCATGGGAGATGCTGTAGGTAAAATAATATAGTCTTAATAACTTTTCAGAGGAATTAAATTAATTGTATAAAAAGAGATTCAAATGAACAGCTCTGAAACGCCATTCCATTTTGCTCCTGAGTGACTTGGGGAAATGGCACCTCTTTCTTGGCTTCCTAGTTGCTCCCCATGATGCTGGGCTCTCGTGGTGAATTTCCATCACTTCCATTAGAGGTTCCATCACTTCCGTTAGAACTGTGAGGTGGTCCAGAACGTGCTGGACTTGATGATCAGGAGTCAATATTTTGTTCCATCCTCATCCTCCATGAACCTCTCTTCACTAGAAAGGACGTCTTCTTAAGCAGCTACCGTTCCCATTTCCCTTTTGAATATTGTGGGTTGGGTCCTGGTTGCGTGTGTCCCCAGTGTGGTAACACCAATTCATTGCCTGGTGCCTTTTGCGGAGCTGAACATGTAGAAGTTAGACTAAGTGTGTTTAGTCTGAATGAAAGCCATCCTGTTGCAATGAACTCCCATAAGGAGAACATAGATAACTGGTGCCATATCTCATGAGCCAGCCTCCGTGATCCTCCGGAGGTGTTGGGTTACTCCTGAACCCATGACGACAAGTATATTTTCACCTGACTTTAGCCTTTTCTTTTCCTAGTTCATAGATGTTGACAACTTCCTGACTAATCCACAGACCCTCAACCTACTGATTGCCGAAAACAAAACCATCGTGGCCCCCATGCTGGAGTCTCGGGGCCTGTACTCCAATTTCTGGTGCGGAATCACACCTCAGGCAAGTCTTTGGCCAATGAGTGAAAGCTATGAGTTTTAACAAGGCGGCTCCGAGTCACCAGTAGCCCTATTAACCTTTTTCTCATTTCCTCCTTTGAAAGATGCATGCCATTTCAGAGCAAGCATTTTCAGGAAAGGAGATATATCCAGGTCCAATGCCACCACCCAGTGTGTGCTTCTGAATTAATGAATTATGAAGAAAACATTCTAGTGACTTTAGCATTAGAAGCTTAAATGAACCAATAAAGCTTGCTGGGATTTGTACTTTTTTTCTCTCTGACTCAGAGATTTTTTAAAAAATTTAATAGGTGGTGTGTTTGTTTTTTGTTTTGGTTTGGTTTTTTTTGTCATTAACACTATCATAAGAATACTATAGAAAAATTTAAAAATGAAGAAAGGTAAAAATATCATGTTAACCCCCACCACTCTAACATCATAGATAACAGTTTGCATGTCCTTAATAACTATATCAAGTGGCTATAGTGCAACTTAACCTTTCTCTTAGTTTAAAAACATTTAAGTTGTTTGCAACTTTTAACTATTATAAGGATCGTCATGATTAATATAATTTTTTGTATTTAATATTATTTCTTTAGAATAGCTTCTTAGAAGTGGAATTCCTTAGTCAAAGAGTATAAATATTTTTATGACCTTTGATATATGTTGCCAAATTTATTTCTAAAGAGATCCAATAATTAGAACTGCTATGGTAGCTTGTTTTTACAAAATTCATGTTAAAATCAGAATTCTTTTATTTCCATCACCTCTCTTTTCCACTGTAAAATCTTTAAAGTCTAGAGATCTGTTACAGTGAATGCTTACGGCTGGTTATAGTTTTACTCTTTAGTTAAATGCGAGAGATAAATTGATCAATGTCGAATGCTTACGGCTGGTTATAGTTTTACTCTTTAGTTAATAAATGCAAGAGATAAACTGATCAATGTCATATATATCAATATAGAATAAAGATGTGCTTAAGGAAAAATATATATATGTTAAATGTGGTCTCAGACCCAAGGGGCTACAATTGTGAGTCCCTCTTTTATATTTTGTTTGGTTTGGGGCCAAATGATAAATGTTTAATAACTGGCTCTCTGTGGGAGGAAAATCCTGATTGGTAACATTTGCCAGTTTTCGTGGTGTAAGTTACTCCCACCATGCAGACTACTTAAATGTTGTTTAAGCTAAGGGAAAGGTTAAGTAAATTGCAGTGTAGCTACTTGATGAGATAATTATTAAAAATATGCATAGCTGACATCTGCGGTTCTGTTAGATGGTGGCATTAACTTGATTTTTATTTTTACAGCTGTCAACATGTCAACTGGCTTGCACAGTTCCTGAAAACATAGCAGTCAGTGGCTCTAACACACTACTGGATGAGGCATTCCTCTTTCACTACAGTATTTCCCGCAGTCCCAAGAGGTTTCAGATGCATGTTATTAGCCACATCTCTTCTAGGGAAGCATTAAGTTCATATTTGTACAAGTCATTCAGTTCTTGGTCTGGAACGTTACTTAGGTGCACTTGAGTTCACACACTCTTAGTTAATGATCTGCAGTGTCTCGCGTGGCAGAATCACTCGGTTGTTTTTAATGAGTTATGCTGTGACATCAGCCATAAGGGTGGATTATTCTAGGGACTGCAGCCTCCAGGTTTCAATTATCTTCTTGTTTGCTTTCATCATGAAAAGCAAATAGGAGAAATTGCTCACTTATTTTGCACAATAAGAGTAAAAAACCTGGCCCCGGCTAGTGTGACTCAGTTGGAGCATCATCCTGTACACCAGAATGGTTTCGGGTTCAATTTCCAGTCAGGGCACATACCTAGGTTATGGGTTGGATCCCCTGGTCAGAGTACATGTGGGAAGCAACCAATCGATGTTTCTCACATTGATGTTTCCCTCTCTCCCTCCCACTTTAAAATCAATAACCATATTCTCAGGTGAGGATTTTTTTAAAATAAAAAATTTGAACACTTTAGGGACAATTCTAATTTTTACCCCTCTACTCTTGGCTGCCATCCCCAGTCAGGCTTCTGCTGGGGCAGTCAGTGACGCCATATGCTTCAGGCAGGCCCTGGTCTCCAGAGCATCCAAAACAAAGCGGCCCTGGTGTTGTTGTCTGGCCAGTGAACAAGAATTATTACCAACAACATTCAACTTATGTGGGGACAAAAGACACAGTTTTCACCTCTGCCTGTCTGCAGGAGGCATGTTAACTCCCTTTCTCTGCTCCCTTCCTCCCTGCCCCCGGGATATTCAGTGATTCATCATGATGATGACATTTCCAATCTTCTCATTCTGAGAATATTGTGCCTAAGTTGTCCAGAACTTTATATATGACATGCATTCTTAAAGACCAGCCTTCCCTTTATTCCTTGGGAAAAATGTTTTCAAGTTGAAGTATTAGGAGAACCCATGTTCTAACTTAAGGATATTAAGTGATCCTTCATTTAAAAGCTAAATGAAAAATTATACTACTAATAAAAAATTATACTACTAATAATACTCCCTATAATGGACCACAGTTTTCAAAGTATCTTCATAGACCTTAGTGCTTGTGATCCATTCTACGCCGTGTGAGAAGAAACTCAAAGAGATCAAACATGGGCTGAGATCAAACAGCTGGAAGATGGTTCAAGTAACGCTAAGCCTCACATCCTCTAAATTTCAATTTGCACGGCTTCAACCTTGCCACGTGGTCAGGGTTAGGGTTAGCTCAGCTGGAACACTCATCTAGACACTAAAGCAGCGGTTCTCAACCTGTGGGTCGCGAACAATGAAAATACATCCTGCATATCAGATATTTACATTACGATTCATAACAGTAGCAAAATTACAGTTATGAAGTAGCAACGAAAATAATTTTATGGTTGGGGGTCACCACAACATGAGGAACTGTATTAAAGGGTCGCGGTATAGGAAGGTTGAGAACCACTGCAAGGGATTGCCCGAGGCGTGAAAGAGGCTGCAATGCCTTGTGTGTGGGCCCTGACATCACAACAGAAAATGTGACCACAAAGTCAAGGGATTGGTTGCCCTGTGTGCTTGCCCACAAGGAACTTTCCAAAGGGGAATTCTTTTGAGCAGTGACAGCTCCACCAGAATATTGAATAAATAACTTCATAGAAAGAAGACCCTATTTCTATGTCTCAGTACTGCATGTTGAGTTAAAAATATTAACCAATGTAATGTAGCCATTTTAATAATAGCCAATGATGCTTTCTCAATGCCAACACTACTATAAGCACTCTGAATTGTTAAGGCATCCATCCCCATGGAGTGCAAAGGGCCGTCACTTCTGTTTTACAGATGAGGAACTAGGTTGAGTACTCTGACCAATACCTGTAGACAATAAGTAGCAAAGGTGGGATTTGAACTCAGGCCGGCAGACACCTTCATTGCTTGGCTTTGCCACATTTTCATACTCATGCTTCAATCATAAGTCAACATAAAATGTACTTCTATGGAATTATTAAATCAAGAGATAGGCTGAAACCAAAATTATTTCTGATAACAGGACCCTTTTAGTATTACTTAATCTGTAAATAGCAGTTCTTGAGCTCAATCCTAATTCTTAGGCCAAGATAAAAAGAGTGAAGGTGATTTGCTTGGGGACTTCACCCTAACTGGTGCTGACTTAGAAGGAATCGGCTGGCAGATGACCATGAAAGATGAAGTCTCAGATGAGAGAACATAGCCTCCCTGCTTGCTCTTTTGCAGGGCTTCTATAAACGGACCCCGGACTACCTTCAGATCAGAGAATGGAAGAGGATGGGCTGCTTTCCCGTCCCCATGGTCCACTCCACACTCCTGATTGACCTCAGGAAGGAAGCCTCTGACAAGCTCATGTTCTATCCCCCGCACCAGGACTACACCTGGACCTTCGATGACATCATCGTCTTCGCCTTCTCCAGCAGGCAAGCAGGTACTGTTGGTATTGGGTGGCACCGCCCCCAGGGAAACACTGCAAATAACCAGCCTTTTTGTTTTGTGTCTAAGGAAATAGGCTAACTCTGCAGGTAGTGTTAGAGGCAGTTGATTGCTGCAGTTCTCACCCCAGCACCCTCTGTGTTGCTGTCCCTGTGTGCACCAATGACCAAGAGCCCTTACCCAGAATCCACTCTTGTTACTGAGCAGTGGGAGGAGGGTGGTGGTGGTGGTAGCCAGGGGCAATTATTGGTTCTCTGTGGTGCTACTGCATTGCTTTGTCCATTGTAGGAGCCCTTTTATTAATCAGAAACTGTGACAAAGACCAAAACAACACTGGCAAAAAATAAATAAACCCAGACTTTAAAAATGGAAGATTATTTCTTCTTTAAAAAGTCTGAGCTGGTGCAGTTGCTCTAATCTACACATTTTCAGGGACCCAGGATCCTTCTCCATTGCTTCTCCACCCTCCATGAGGCATCATCCTTAATTGTATGATCCAAGATGTCTCATTACTAGGGATGCGTTCCAGCCATTGAGTGAAAACCAGAGAGGGACGGCAGTGTCTTCCCCTTGAAGGGTACTCATGAAAGTTGAACACGTCACTTCCATGCATAACCCATTAACCAGCACTTAGTCACAGGACAACACCTAGGGGGCTCAGAATGTTGTCTGTGCAGTCAAGAGCCCCATTCTCCTGCTCTAGAAGAAGGAGATAGTAGATTTGGGGTGTCAACCACAGTCCCCATCGAAGGTCAGGCAGAGCCGGACTTAAATCTTTCATGAACCACTAGGAAAGCATTTCCAGAGGCGAGTGTAAGTCTTTTAAAGAAGACAAGTCAGTAGGAATGTAAGTTATTTCTCTTGTGTCACCTGCACACGCCGTCAGGGAGGACGTAATTCACCAAAGCAGTTCAACAGGAAGATGCCCAAGTTCCTAAAGCAAAGTTTTATTCTCAGGACGGAAGCCAGGTCCCATTATCAATGAGCCAGAAATGTGTCCCTTAGCCACTAGCCAAAGTGAGTTTAGAAACCAGGCGGATGGTGAATAAACTCATCGTGCTGTAGACTTGGTAGGAATGAGAATATTTGGTGGGAATGTGGAAGGTTGGTTTTTTCCCCCTTGGCTGACAAGGCCATTGGGACTCCTTGGCCAGATGCAGGCATTTTTAGACCTGTGTCAAGGCAAAAGCAAGGTTCTTGTTCTCCTGTGGGTTGGACGTTTTCCTGAAGGTTCTATGTCAATGTTAATGAAACCGCTTCTTTCCTCCTGGTCTGTGATTGGCTCTGACCTCCCCAGGATGAGAAGCAGACGCAGGGCCTTCTCATTCCTTCTATTTGTGCCAGGCCCTTTGCTTCAGAGCTAGAAGTAAGGAAGTTCCAAGAAAGTGAACTGTGAACAGTTACAGTAACGATCCTCGCCTAACAGAGTCCCCTTTTACAGCATTGCACAAGGCATTATGGTGACCCAGGCGCTAAATTATGATGATAATTCTTTTAAACCAAGAACTGGATTTGTGGCTAGGAGAGCGACACAGGCTGGGAAGGAATTTGTCAGCTCTGCCCTTCGCTTGTCCTATTCACTCGGCCTTCATTCATGATTGGCCAGACTTCCCAAGGGTCCTCCCGGGACACTGAAAGCAGGTGCAGAGGCCCAAAGCTGCTTGGTGATTCCTCTCTTTGGGGAGACGAGAGGGAGAAAAGGAAGGTGAGGGGATCAGGGCTCTAGGCCTTCCTCTTGTGCCTAGCATTGTGTTAGGCTCTGTGTTTGGGGGAGATAGGACCTTTCCATGTGGAAACGTAAATATAGTTATGGAACAGTGAAAGCTGAGGGTCAGATGGGTGGTACAAACTGTGAACAGGCCAGGAGACAAGACAGAAAGAATGACTGTCATTTGGAGGAATGGAAAAGCTTCCCAGATGGTGGTGTGGTCCTAAGGTAGCCCTTTCACTTTCTTGAAGTATTTTCAGGAGAGACGTGAATGCAGCCATCGAGTATTTCTGGGCTCTTCCATTCTTAGATCCAAAGCAAAGCACTTCCCTTTCCCCCTGAAAGAGTCTTGATGAAGGATGATATGATTCTTTTGTTCTCACTCTTGTGAAGCTCCCTGGCTGTGCTTCATCCATTGGAGCATCATTTTTTAACTGTCAAGAAGGAAATAAAGGGTCTGTGTGTCCCAGTTAGGACCATCTAGCCACAAACCTTGATCCTTACTCTTTAAGCTTGGACTTCAGGCATCACCACATTTGGGTGATGAGTGAAAGGGTCAGACCAAGTGCGCCTGGGCCCTGGGGTGTGGCTGCCCATCTAGCCCAAGAAGAGAGCACAGGGGTCATAGGCAAGTCTCTGTGGCTGTAATGAGGGCAGGGTCAAGAGTTCACTTCCCATTGTGGCCAGTGATCTGGGTCTGTATCATGGCCACGGGAACCATCTTTGGCACCAGCCAGTCATCTTTCAGTGTCAAAAGAGGCAAGATGTGGGTGATCTTCCTCCTGCACATCATTGGTAGTGACCAAAAGTGCCCCCATGTGCAGGGATGGCAATCTGTGGTTACTGGTTCTGAGGCTCGGCTTCCAAATTCTGGGTGGATAAAGAGGCTCAGTGACCAAAAGTGCCCCCATGTGCAGGGATGGCAATCCTGTGTGGTTACTGGTTCTGAGGCTCGACTTCCAAATTCTGGGTGGATAAAGAGGCTTGGCATTGGCCTTTAGGGACAGAGGTTTGGCACTAATGACTTACTGTATGACCTTGGGCCAATCATAACCTCTCTGACTTTTCATCAGAATAAAGATAAGTATATCAATTTACAATATTAAGGTACTATGTGAGTATAAGAAAATGATGGATATCTCCATAAGGTAAGTAGGTACAGTCCTTTAAGGTGCAGTGTCAAAGAGAATTTTGTTTTCCCAGAAGCAGCTTTCACTGAGAGTACCAGATTCCTTCATAGACTTTATCTAGTTATCAACACTCTTCCTTTTGAAATTTAACCCTTAATTGTCTAAAACTCATGTTAGAATGGTGACATTTTTTTTCCATAGCTAAGTACGTCTGCATTCATTTCTTTCTTCCTTCCTTCCTTCCTTCCTTCCTTCCTTCCTTCCTTCCTTTCTTTCTTTCTTTCTTTCTTTCTTTCTTTCTTTCTTTCTTTCTTTCTTTCTTTCTTTCTTTTTTCTTTCTTTCTTTTTACAGTTTACATTCAACATTATTTAGTTTCGGGTGCCCACCATGGTGGTTAGACAATCATCTACTTTACAAAGTGTTCCTCCTGATATTTCCAGTACCCAACCAGCAGCATACATAGTTATTACAATATTATTGACTATATTCCCTATGCCGAGCTTTACATCCCTGTGACTGTTTTGTAACTACCAATTTGTTCTTCTCAATCCCTTCACCTTTTTCGCCCAGTCCCCCAAACCCCCTCTACTCTGGCAAACATCAGTCTGTTCCCTGTGTCTATAAGTCTGTTTCTATTTTGTTTATTTATTTTGTTCTTTAAATTCCACATATAAGTGAGATCATATGGTATTTGTCTTTCTCTGACTGACTTATTTCACTTAGCATAATACCTTCTAGGTCCATCCATAGTGTTGCAAATGGTAAGATTTCATTCTTTTTCATGGCTGAGTAATAGTCCATTATATACATCTACCACAGCTTTTTTATCCACTTGTCTATTGATGGACACTTGGGCTGTTTCCATAGCTTGGCTATTGTAAATAACACTGCAGTAAACATAGGGATGAGATTATTATTTTGAATTAGTGTTTTAGGTTTCTAGAATGGTCCGATTTATCTGCTGTTCTTATTGGTGACAATGCCTGGCCTGGAGCCTCTGATACACTCTAATCTGAGTGGTACCACAACTGTCACCCTGGGACCCTCTTCTCTTCTCTTCTTCATTGACTGTCCTCTACTGTGTCCCATCTTCCTTGTTGTTTGTAATCCTCCTCCACCTCTCTTCCCCCCCCCC